TCAACACATTTAACAAGATCCCCAGGCTGAGGAAGATGAGAAGCCAAACCTAGCATTACAAACCATCAAACAACGTAAATAGATGAATATAGAAGACTCTGATTTTAAGAGCTTGAACCCATAAAACTGGAACTCACCAAGTTCATATGCCTTGGCAGCAACTTTAGCAGCAATATTTGCTGATATCTTTCTGATATTCTTGAATGGTGGATAAATCATTCCCTTTTCGTTGTGTTCTTCTGTCACTTGTGAAGCCAAAGCTTTGGCTATAACAAGGGAAGGGGAAAAAAAAGGCTTTTAGGTTCCAGTTTTTCACCATTTGCATGTACAGAAACAGACCAAATGCACTTACAGGCTACCAAAAGCATGTCATCACGTACACGAATTGAACCAGACATTATCAAACCCAAACCAAATACAGGGAAAATGTAAGCATTGTTTGCCTGAATCACATTAGACAAGGTCCCCAAGGATTTAACAGTTAGTTCCCAAACTTGAAAATGCTTTAAGTACAGGGAGAAAGCAAAAAACCTGGCCAGGCACGAAGGTCTTGCCATTATATTCGAAGGGATCAAATGGGCTTCCACTGGCAAAGATTGCACGACCCTGCAGAGTTTTTAGAGTAATTTACTTGAGTGTGTAAAAATATTCCAAGCTACAAGGAATCTTGCATGTCATGTACCTCACTCCATGTATATGCTTCTTCTGCCATACACTCCGCTTGCGATGTCAGGTTCGATAGAGCCATGATAAGAGGTGTCTGCAAGTCGTCCATTAGGATCAGTCTAAAACTCATCACTTGAGATGATCTCAAAGATAGAGATATAAAGAACCTTATTCAATGATGCCATTGCCTCCACAACCTCTTTTGTGAATTGTTTTCCCACACCAGATGTTCCAATCAAGATAATTGGTTTGATTGCTTGATTAATCAAACATAAATGTGGAAGAAGTAAAAGAAAGATGAAACATTTCGTTTCGAATAAAAACTCACGACAAGTTACGCACCGTGACGGCATTGATGAATTCTGTGACAGGTTCATGGTCATGAGCCCAAGGTTTCTTGTAGTCTTGAAGCGAGTCCTTGCGAGAGGTAACGACCAATCCCTGCAACATGATTCAACCTCATCACAGTGAGAAAAGAAGAGCTTGCATCGTTTTATACAAGATAGTTTCAATGAAATTCATAGTACCTTTGAGTCTACAAGCCAGATCTTCTTGCTGTTCTCCTCAATCGGTTTTCCATTCTGTCGAGAGACCGTATATGTTTAGACATGAACCTTTCCTGAAGACACAAATACATAGCATTAGAAGATTATTACCTGTTCTGAGATCTCAAGTGCTATGAGGTCAGCTATACCAGTTCCGGCCTATCAACAGCCAAAAAGAAACACAATTAAGATGTTGTATATGTGAGATGAGAAGCAAGTATTGTATAGGAAAGTTCAGTTCCCTTATTGTCATTGTGTTAATCGAGCCTTACCTCACCAGCACCGAGGAACAAGAATGTATGGTCGACGAGAGTTCCACCGAGTAATCTTAGGGCAGAAAGAAGGCCAGCCAGCACCACAGCTGCTGTACCCTATCTTTATGAAGAGTTTTAAACTAATGTCGCCACCATTAAAGAAAACAGAGGAGGGGATTCTAGTTAAACATATTACCTGTATATCGTCATTGAAAACGAGATGAGTAGAACTGTATCTTGCTAACAGTTCAATTGCATTGTGGTTTGCAAAATCTTCAAACTGAAAATCGGAGAATCGAGCATGTAAAAAATCCAACAGCAAAGGCCTAAAAAGAAGATGGGCTGATGATTACCTGTATTAGAATTTTCTCTCCATAATTCTGTTTAACTGCACACATGAACTCTTGTAGAAGGTCAGCATATTCCTGCACCAAGGAAACATATTCTTGTACATTTATGGCATAACATATTATGGCTTAATGGGAACACAGATATGCAAAGGAAAAACATCAAACATTTCCGGTTGCCCTCTTTTGCCTGAGCCCAATGTAAAATTCGTCATTTAACAACTTCTCGTTGATTGTCCCGACATCGATTGTGACAGGCAAGCATGAAGATTGTAAATAATTAGCTGATCGTATATGCTATTAGGAGACCTACTATGTATGACATTACTGTAACCAAATTGTTAAATGGTAACATGAAATCAACTGGTTTTATCGATGCTTACTAATGAGGGACAGACTCCACCGAGAGCTGTGTAGAGAGAGTTTTCCTACAGGTATTCCCATTCCCTGAAAACAATCAGAATATTAATGATCATGAAGTTGATCTACGAGATGTTTCGAGTGCAGCTTCGAAACAGATATGGAATCACCTGGCAACCAAGATACAACAATGACTTGAACTGTTCTCTCAGTCCAGTTTTTCAGTATTTCAAGAATCTTCCCCCTGATAGATTGTGATGCTTGGCTATTGTTATTTGTATCTCAATATTTCAATTTTCAACACAAAGGACACAGTGAAAACACATACTTGTCTTTCAGACTGATGTAAAGACCCTGAGAGTGCCTGAAAATGCTGCCAAATTTTTGGCAAGCCTCATCAACTGTTGGAGTGTACACAACCGGGAGCAGTTCCTCCACGTTATTCGACGAGAAGCTTGTAAAAAAGTCGTTCATTCCTCTCCTGCCAAATGCAGTCAATAGTACATCCATAAAGTTGCCGATACGATATATAGGTGCTATATGTGGGGAATTTAAGGCATGGAAAGTTTACCTGAAGATCGATCATCGCCATGTATTGATGCAAAGGAACCGTATATTGGCGAATGATATTCATCATCTTCTTCTCCTGAAGTTCCTGGCTGAGAACAACAGGGGGAAGAAGGCCACGCAGGTAATGTGCATCTCTCTCTTTCTCAGTGAAGGCAAGCCCTTTGTTGTGACGTGCGTCACGCATCAAAGAATATCCACTACAAACACAGATTTACAATGCACATCACTTGTTTGAAGTATTTTTTATGAGCAAAAGATCAAGAAAGCTATGATCTTTGTCTTTTCAGGACTCAGATTAACACTGAAAAAAAATTTAGATCTAAAAGGAAATTACGAAGCATGATGATATTGGCATTGGTGCAGGAATAGGAGTAAATCACCTAGCAACAGGGATAGTCCATGGTGTGATAGACTGATTTAATGTGGCATTATCCTCACCGTACATATCATCAACACCACCACCAACCATGGTCGAATTATCCACTAAATCACAAGTGTTATTAACTGTCGTATGAAATATTAACGACAAGGATATTCTTTCTTCCCCGATCCCCACCCAACATCCGTCTCTGCAAATCTAACAATGCTTGGGAACAGAACACAACATTAAAAGAAAAAACAGGTTTTTTTCCCTTAATTGTTCAAAAGGCAAAAAACTCTTTCTTTTATAGTAAGAGTGAAAAGCAAAGCAAAACTCATAAATATTTATGAACAACGAGTATGGTAGCAATTATGGGTGTTCAAAAGGAAGATCCCAGGATAAATTTCTCTTCTTCTTTTTTTATATAAATTTTAATTTTTTTTGGATAATTAATATTTTTATTATCCAAAGGTGGCAGAAACCTGCTACAAAATCAGTTCAGACAGAGGAAAAGAAGAAAGAATCAAGGGTATCCTATGAACAACCAAAATTAAACTATACCCCATTGATTACAAATATCTAAATTAGTGCTATCTAATCTGTTGATACTTCTATTGCTTAAATGAGACCCTATAATCTGCTTAATTTCAAGAATAATAGCGTCATCGGATCTGCAAGTATCTCTAAAAAGTCTTCGATTCCTTTCCTCCCATATAATATAATTGAAAGCACACCAAGAAAGTTTGAGGATGACAGTAATGAGAGATTTCCCTTTCCATGTTGCTGTTGCCCAAGTCAGTAGATTAGACCAAGTGAAAGGAGGTTTTTTGATGCATGAAAGAAGAAGAACGGAATTCCAGATTGAAGAAGACAGTTTGCATTCTGCAAACAAATGGTTTCTGGTTTCGCATCCATCGGAGCAGAGGATGCACTGGTCGTTGGTGACAAGCCCGAACCTCAGCAGCCTTTCTTTGATGGGGATGGCGATCCTAGATTAGCATCCAAGAAATAATGCTGTGTTTAGGAATGTGAAGGGAAACATATGAGCTTTTGCCAGTGGACTTTGTTGTGTTTAAGTCGAACCTGCTCCCATAAATTTTAATTTTGTTTAAAGGGAAATGTCCAAGACAAAAAGGACTAGCTTGCAATGTGGGGAAAATAATATGAATAAATAAATAAAAGCTGGTAATTGGTAGCAAAAATGGTTTCCATTCCATGAAAGCATCCTGTTAGCAAGGAGAGGAACGTGGGAAACTGTTTACGATATTCCCTCGTTCGGCCAACATGCCTACTTTCTCGCTAGTCAGCTTTTTATCTTAGTTGTTTTATAACAATAATAATTCAATAAATTTTATAATAGAATTTTCTACCACATATATGAAAAATCAATAAATTATATAGTAGAAATCGAGTATTAGAAATTAGAACGGCGGTTTTACAGCCGATTATATAGTATAAGTGATATATCAATTTATTTAAAAAAAAGTGTTTTTATTAAAAAAACATTTATATAGTATTTTTAAGTTTAATTAAAAAATATTTAAATTATATTTTTATGGTTGAGGTGTTAAATTTTTTATTAAGATATGTATTCAATATTAACAATTTTAATAGGATAAGACATTATATCTTTTAAGAAATATAAAAGGTTTCAATAAAAATAATACACGATAATTTTTTATATTTTTTGAAATTTATTTTGAATATATAATTAAAACTAATTAAAAATTATTTTTCAGATATAAAATATTATTGTTATTTATTTTTATAATAATAATTATAGGTTTTAAATATTGAATTGAAATGAAAGTATTTTTAGTAATAAACAGGTCGAATGGAGCTTCTGAAGTCCAAAACTGTCGGGCCTTTCTACTGTATAGCTAAAAAGAGCATAAAAGAAACGCAAAAAAGATACAAATTGAATCCAAAATTCTGAAGGCGCTTAAACTGACATTCTCTCTGAGACTGAGACTCTTAGTCTCTGAAATTTCCAACACTTTAGGCATTAGGGTTTTTCAGATTATACAAATTGAGAGCTCGCTTAATCCCCAAAGTTTCCATTTTAAAAGGAAAAAATAACGTATTTTTGGAGTGTTTGATGGATCGTCTACGTCCGAGACAGAGACCGGTCTTATCTGGATTTACAAAAGCCGAGGTAAATCCAAAAGCCGAGGTTTAAAAAAAAAACCTTAATTTTCTGTTTTGAGTGGCATTTTTTTCTGGTCAGTTGTCAGATTATGGAGTCTAGAACAAATGGTGTAATTATATATACGAATTTTTACGGATATAAAGAAGTCCCTATATTTCTTAATGTATTGTCCTGTATTTCTGCTTCTGATCAGCGTGAGTACGTTGTGATTCTTGAAAATGTGAAGTTAGAGCTTTTCTATTGATTTTAGGTTGTGTATGTGATAGTTTGGATTGATTCTCTCTTTTTCGCTCTTATGCATTGGGGTTTGGAATCATTCTTGGTTTAACGTAGTAATTATGTATGAATGTTGTTGATTCTAACATTTTGTTATAAGCAGAGCAATGCGACCATTATATCAAAGCTCTGTAGCCACTCTTGAGATGCTTATACAAAGCTATTTCCATTCTTTTACGTCTTTATGTACAGATTGAGAAGATGGAGAAATTGTCGGTGGAATCAAGGGAGCTGCTGCAGAGTAAGGAGTTTTGTCAAAAAATTGCGAGAAGTTTCAGGTTAGTTGCATTTCGTGAACATTGTTCCCGCCCTTTTAGATTAAACAAATGTATCTGCTTGGACTGAGATGCATGTTGCTTTTGCAGTTCATCCTCGGCTCGTGCTGGCAAACCTATTGTTAAATGGACTGAGGTCTTTCTTTACTCGATTACTATCTTATGATTTCTCCTCTTTTCTTTCAATTTTGGTTATGTTGTTTATGTTGAATACTTCTGGATATCTACTGTGATCACTAATTTCATTATTGTTTCTCAGGTACAAAGCTGGTTCGGATCTAGGCAGCAGGAAAGCACATCCAAAGTTCCTTCCTTTACTGATACATCCGAAAACCAGTCCTCAATACCTGAAACATGCCCTCTAAACAATGGACCTCAAAATTCTCAAACTCTTAAAGGTGTGTGTCCATTTTTTGAATTTGAGGAAAGAAAATGATTAAAGTTTGGACCGATTCAGATATCCCGGTGGTTGCAAAACGTGTTATAGTTCGACTTGCTACCCCATTTTTTTTGCTATACTAGATAGTTCTTAATTTCTTTTGGAAAGTAAAACTTTTACCAGTATAGAAGTGCTTCTAATTTTAAGCACGAGATCACTACTATTCCTATTGACTGGTGCAGAAATGTATACGGTTTTCTTGTTCATGTCTTCCTCTGCTTTATCATCTGGAAACCATGGCATAAAAATTAAATATTCACCTGGACTTCCCCTTGAGTGTTCTATAGAAAGTGTTTGCTGCCTTTGCTAACTTTTTTCCGTCTCTCTAGCAGTGGATTCACAACCTGGAGAAAAGATTCCTGATCTATCAGAACTAAAATTCGAGGCTAAGTCATGTAAAGATGGAGCATGGTAAGCAAATGAATATAAATTATTCTAATAGCAATTGTCCAGGCTTTTCTATTGTTATAATTGATCTGTAAATTATGTACATATACAAACAGTTGGAATATACCTGCGTTCATTCTGTAATGCCATGTGAATCTTGTACTTAAACTTGCGAGAGTTTTTTGTTTTTTGATGCACAGGTATGATGTTGACATGTTTCTCGGTCACCGGTTTCTAAGTTCTGGTGAAGCTGTAAGTATATTTAAATCATATTATTGCATTCACTGTCTAGACTGATGCTCTTACCGAGCTAATATTTGGTCATAGTTGTCAAAGTATTTATTTTAGAAGTCATTTGATTAAATGTATTGTTAAAGGATGTTCGGGTCAGATTTGTTGGATATGGAGCTGCAGACGATGAATGGGTTAATGTAAAAAAGGCAGTACGAAAGCGATCCATCCCGTTTGAGCATTCTGAATGTAATAAGTTGGTTGTTGGAGATCTCGTATTGTGCTTGCAGGTGACTAATAGATAACTCATTGTTCTTAAATTTCTCAATAATCTTATTTCTGTCTGTTACTTTGCATTTCTTGGCTGGAATTTAGGAGAGAGGGGACCAATCAATTTACTATGATGCTCACGTTGTAAAGATTGATCGGAAAATGCATGACATACGAGGTTGTAGGTGTCTGTTTTTTATCCGATATAATCATGACAACACAGAGGCAAGCATTTCATCTTCTTATCAACTCTTCATGCTAGCTCGATTAAGCGTACAAGAATAGTATTTCCTTCAGAGCTACAAGTACTGATCTTTTCTTGTTTATTTTTCCCTTTTGCCAGGAAAGAGTTCGATTGGAGAAACTATGTTATATTTCGGGCATACGAACTAATTAGTTTGCAGAATGCTTTTGAACTTTTACTTTCCTTCCAACAACCGGTTTTGTAATTTTTTATTTGGGAAGGTTGATCAAATGTGATTTTCTGAGCAAGAGAATTACTACTTGTATGTAAATCGGCATCTTTGGACCATTCAGGGATTATCTTCATTATGTCGTCCCCCCCCCCTTTGGTATGGCGTCTCCAAGATAGAATATGCATATAAAACTGGCATGTAAAATTACAGTTCTCTTTATGGATTTAGTTCATGTGCCTTGTGCCTCAAATGATTATATTTTTTAAAATAAAAACAAAATTCTGTTGAAAATGTACATACTGGTATAAGCCAGTATTGATCAAAGGGCAAAATCAGAGTAAAACTGGCAATTAAGCATCTTATAGTAAAACAAATGGCTAGACCAACTATCATTAAAAACAATTGTCAAAGTGAAATCATGTGAAAACAAATGTTACCAAGAATCTGGGAATGAACCTAATAGACTTTGATCAATAACTCGATTGCAATCAACATCCATTTAGATATCTCTAACAAAAGCATTTTTGCTCAAATGGCAGCGCTCGATCCTTCTTTTCTCGGTGGATACTCGGCCAACCTTAGATCATAAATACTCTGTACCAATAAGGCATTCAAACCTGGAGCTTTAAAAGATCACAAGTTTAACCATTGAAATGCTTATCTGTTAAGATGGATCATGGACTGGATTTAGCTTGTGCATGCATCAACTACAGCACAATTATTTCCTTAGGGTTAAATCAGACATCCCAGAAGTTGGACGTGTCTCCCGAGTTTCATCAGCAGGTTTTCTTCTTGGAACACTAAGTACAAAAGCAGCTTGATCCCAATTTGCCTCAGTTGAAGTAAGGCGGTAGCCATTATCCCACCTCCTGTGAATACCTTAAATGGGATAGAGAAAATCTAATTCTACAACTTACCTGCAGGTGGACCAAAATAAGGATATTGTCACTCGGGCCGCGAACATTTCATTTACCACAATGGAGAGAGACACGGAATGGATGTTCTTGAAATCCAATAAAAACCTGGTCAGAAATGGGGGACCACCTGAAATAACACTTGCCCATCTGCTTCCACCGGTGGCCATGTCAATCACATAAAAACCCTCCCTCAAGGGAAACGAATCCCTAACTTTGTACGATTGCTGCAAATACCGAGTCCCTTTACACATCGAAACTTAAAAAAAATGATTTTCAGGCACTTCAAAAGTTTAGGTTTTTTTTTTAATATAAGTTCTCATTAAATTTCTACTTTTCTTAGTAAGCTATAGTAAATTAAAATACTATTGAATAATATTTAGACTTAAAAAGCATTTGTAATGGTTAAAATTATAAATAAATACCTATTCTTTTATTAAATTACGGAATTTGATGTTTTTAAGTAAGATTTTAGAATCGGATAATGTAAATGAAAAGAAAAATATTTTTTGGAGAGTTTTACCTGTTATTTATGGTTTAATCTAACTCAATGCTAGATTTAATCAAAGCCGATATGATTAAAGACATCTTAAGAAAACAATTCAATAAATATTCATGTTTATAATTTTTCTTAATCTAATTAATTTTTATACAAATAATATTGTATGGAGAAAATTATTATCCTATTGCTAGGACATTATTATACGGGTAGTTACGTCATCTATTCAGCCACTAACCCTTCTGCCCCAACAAGCAAACTGCCAAAACATAGAAGCCGTTTTGCTGCACTGAAATTTTAGTTGCCTACAAACCTAAAAGAAGCATTGAAATCTTACAAATATTGTTTATGGATAAATTGCAAATACAACAGTATGAAATGACGGGATTTTTTATATATGAAAAAACAATTTATAACATGATTATACACACGATTATGAATTTCACTGCAATCCAGATGAACAAGCATCGATGTGGACTCGCTTTTAACTTTTCTATCACGTCCACTTGTGCTTTCATACAGGTGCTCTACACCTAATCTGTAGTGCAAGATCGTTTACCAGATATGATCAATCTTTTCGGCTACGGTACCTAATCGCTTCTCTATCCAGTTGATTATATCCTGCCCTATCTCTTCGCGCTCTGGTTCAAAGAGAAGATCATGCAAGAAGCCTTCGTAGAGCTTTATGTCTTTGAATTCGGAGGATGCCTCGTTGTACAAGTCCTGAGAGGCGATTGGATCAGTGACTTTGTCTGCAGTCCCATGCAGAACAAAGAATGGGACAGTCACGGACTTAAAGTTCCGCATCAAGTAAGATGTGATGCGCAATATCTCATGCCCTGTTCGGGCCCTTATTGGACCGGTGTAGACCAAGGGATCGGAATACTTGGCCAACAGTGCAGCAGGGTCCCTCGAAACTGGGATGCCCTTCTTGTTCGCTCCTTTAAACTGCAACTTAGGAGCAACCAGAGAAAAAAGGGGGGCAATAGCCTGCATAAAGACACAGTATTAAGATGCCATCTTGAAGGGATACAGGGAGGTTACGCTACAGATTAAATCACAGTCAATCTTATTCTTTACAATATGCAGTTGATATCACGCAATAGCAGAATGGTTATACAAAACCAAAGTGACTCGCATTCTCAAGCAAAATAGTTAGATGGCATTATAGAGGACAAAATCATGAAAACTATATTCAAGCTAAAACCTGACCAGTTAACTCTAAAAGGAATTTACACCTCCCAAGTACTTTATTTGCACACATCTTTTGGCTAACTCATAACTAAATATAGACATTTGATAAAACTAAGAAACCGATCACAAGAAGAGAGCCTGGTTTCTGCATTAAAAAAAAAAGTGATATTAAAAATATTCATAGGTCAATATTAAACCGCTGATTGGTAATGGTTGGTTGAAGCGCTTTTAATGCTTCTGTTCAATAAAGTTCAGAAAACTACAGCACGATTGAGCACACTACAAATAAAGAACAATAAGAACCTACTCACCCCAACAATCGGATGTGCTGGCTTAACACGCAAAGCTGGAGATGTCAGCACAATTCCCTCCAGCATTTCTTCAATACGAGGGTATGAAGCTGCCTGGTAAATTGCACCTTCTTAAATTAAAATGTTCAACTGATAATTCATTGAAAGAAAATGGCAGATGTTACCTTTAAAACCACAGCTCCACCAGTAGAGTGACCAAAAAGGAAGCAAGGTACACCTGGGTTCTCTGATTTGATCTTTTCCAAAAAGGCCCCCTGACAATGTAGAGAAAAAACTCAGCACCTTCTTGCAGGCAAATTTTAAATAAAGCCAAAGATTTCCAAATTAAGGTTTTAGTTGTTTATCACCAGTCGGTAGTCATGACAGTAACCTTCAAATTGTTTATGATTAAAATGTTTTATCATCACAAGAGCAATAGGATTATCCAATTAAAAGTTAACTGACAAAGTAATTAATATGAGTTAATTCCAATTGCAAATTAAAAGAAATATAGATGACTACTTACAGTGTCTGCAACAACATGATCAAGTGAAGGAACATATCCGTGCAATCCATCACTGCCACCATGACCTATAAGCAAGGATGCTTTTCTCATTACCACAACTTAAAACTAATATTCTTTAATAGATTTTTAAAAAGGAAAAACAAATGCTGAACATGTGTCGGATTATGTACCTATCCAGTCCATTGCATACACACCAAAATTGCAGGAGGTTAGTTGCTTTGCAAACTGAGCATATCTTCCACTGGAAATAAACAGCCACAAAAAAGAGTACGAAAAATGTGGAAATTCTTTTCCAATGGGATAAAAACTGAGATCTTCATGGACTTAATTTAGAAACAATGTTACCTGTGCTCATTCAGCCCGTGTATAATGATCAAAATTCCCCTAAAAACCACAAACAAGTATCTGTTAGGAGACAAGATAGAAAAGCAAAAGGCAATGAAATGAAGGCAACTTTAAGAAAAGAACAAAACTAAAGGCTACATATTTGCATGATGCTACAGGCAAACTAACAGTAAAGCGGTATTTGTATATCAGCCCCCAACTAATACTAAAATTCAAAACCGCGATCCTCTCAGTTTAGCATTCTCAAAATAGGAAGTTAATCTGTGAAAAGACTAGTTGTCTCGAGTCATAAGCAATTAAAAAATTATTAACTTCAGTTCATAATTAAAAAAACAAAATAAAACGAGAAAAAAAAACAATCGTTTAATGTTCATTTAACGTCAATAAAAAAAAGAAGATTACTGCTTACTTTAATTCACCGGTAGCCGGGAACCAAGACCGACAAAACAATGCACTTCTTCGAACGCCAAAGAACAGAGACGTGCTCCAGCGGCATTGAACCTCTCCGTCTCCGGTTTCGAACCCCATGTTCAAATCCTCTGCCAAATATCTCCTTCTTAACGTGTCCTCCTCTTCTCGCCTCCATAAAGACTTCCGCCTCGATGTTTGAGCCAGAGATTGCGGCCCGGCAGCAGCATCGTCAACCGCCGCAATTGCCGTCTGAAATTTTTGGCGCCGAGGAAAGAGGAGAAGGAGAAGGTACAATATTACAGATTGGATGAAAATAAGAAGAATTCTTAGGGTTTTTAGGATCGGAATTATCCGATTGCTTGCTCCCGACGTCAATGGCTCCATCTCCCCAGCCGCTGACATGACAGAGATGGCAAAAAAAATCAAATGAACAAAAAAATAAAAGAAACTACCGGTATGAAAATATGGAGTGAAAACAATAAAAATAGAAAGAGAAAATACAGGTCTCAGGCAATTTAGTTGGGATATTTATAGAGCACGGGTAGGTTTCGGACAAGGAGGAGAGAAAAATGAATCAAGTTAACGGTATTTGATTGTGTTATGGATAATGATTCCTAAATTGTAAGTAGAATGAACGGCGATGATGGAGTGCATGATTTTGACTTAGGGGCGTAGGAGAGTTTTGACGGGTTGCGGTTGAAATTAGTAGAAGGTACAGTGGAGCTTACTCTAACGCAACAGATTTTGAAAGATATTCTCCGCGTAGCCAGCCTCCCAGCTCGGCTTCCAAGCGTTCTACCCACTCGTGTTTTGACTTTATCGTTTCCCCCCCCCCCCAATACTTAGAGGAGTGACCGGTTATCAACACCGCTCCATTTTTATCCAAAACCAAAACTTTACTCTTCAATTTGATTGTCACCTATA